ATTGTATTGTGTTTTCTTTATGGAAGTAAATGTATGCTGTTTAAAAACCTCGCGATTGCTGAGCAAGAAAACGCCACACTTATCATTTAGTTTTAAATTTTAAAGTGAGTTTTTACGTAGAATTCTGCGTAATTCAAAGATAGTTAAGGCCATAGCTTACACATTGAAGCAACTCTACGAGCACAACGCAGATTCAAGAATTTTCCATGCAATGTATAACGACGAGGTGAAGAGTGTTTTGTTTTGTCGAAATTTCTACTTTTATGAGACTTTTTATAAGTCTCTTACAGCCATACGACGATACTTCGTTGCCTTTGAAGTCACTGAGGTCAAACCGTGTACAAGTAGAACCTATTGAGTACGGCCACACAAAAGGTATAAAAGATTACAATGAAAATAACGTCTAAAAAGTTTCAGGAATATGTGGGCGACAGCACTGTGTTTCGTTTTAAATGCACACTAGAGTCACCCTTTGTTCATCTTCTATCTACCTTACAAATAGACATGCTGTTAATCTTTTTTTATAGAACTTTTTCTACCAGAATATGCACTTTTACGTTCGCTCTCATTCTCCACTTTTGAGTTTTTTCACTCAACCCTAGATTTGCACAACTACTGTCTCTCTTGTCTCTCTTAATCTCTTGAATACACATTCATGGTATTTGATAAGTGTTATCCAAAGCGGTGTCGATTTTTCGTCCATTTAAGCGCTTTAAAAAGGCTGGACTTTTAAAAAACTTTCAAAAAGACTTTAAGAAGAAATTCGACTAATGTGCTATCGAACGGAATTAACTCTAAGCGAACTATGGTTATATAGTATAACATGTATAACTCGTGCTGTTGATCGTCGAGCAGCATGATCGGGCGCCGGTCTTCCACTTCTCCGTGGCATTGAAGAATAGGCCAGTTCGTTCTGCCCGTTCTAGGGACTCGTTGAGTGCCACATCTTTATTCTACGGTCATCATGAAATATTCTGACAATCGATTGGGTGGTTTTCCTGGTGTCCGTTTGACATCCTGAGGAATCCTGTCACTAACGGCTCTTCGACACCAGTTTTCGTTTATACACATTATGTATCTGGGCCACTATATCTTCTACAGTTTGGAGTATAGAACGGCACCTTTGACTTCTAATCATTGACGCATGTAGGGGCTGCGGTTCCTTTCTCTCACATGCATGATAAGGGATACTCCTAGCATCGTCCTTTCTACTGCACGTTCTATAACGCTGTGTGACCTTTCATCCTGCTTAAGCAGCGACCAGGTTTCTGACGCATACGTTAAGGCAGGTAGAATCGTGGAATAGAAAAGGTGGCCATGGAATCGAGTGTTCTTTGTTGTCCTCACTATGTTCCCGGTGCTCGTGAAAACTCCCTAAGTCACTTGTTTTCTCCTGCTCAATTCTGTATCTAAGTCGTTCAGCATGTTGGGTTTCCGACCTCGATAAACCTAACAGGAACATTCGAAGACATTCGTGCCGTGGGGTCTAAATACGGCATACGAAACCAAATCGTTTTTTATGAACATCGTTTTTGTAAAATTTAGTAGAAGACCAATCTTTCCACAAGTGTTATCAAAGTCGGTATGCATTTGCTCCGCCTGGCTAGTAATTGGCGTCATGAAAACGACATAACCAGCAAAACGAAGATGGTGTGATTGCCGACGATCTGTCTTCAATCCCATGTTGCTCCATTCTAATGCTGACGTGACGTTCTCGAAAGTGGAAGTAAATAATTTTGGCGAAATGGTATCAACCTGCCAAAACTCTCTTTTGACGTCGATGTTAATATCGCTATAGAGTGGTGACATTTTGGTTGCGAAATTTTGAAGCAGCTTGCGAAGAATTTGGTACACTGAGTGGGGATTATTTGGTTGGACAGGGCTTCTATGACTACTTCTATTTCAGCTGCGTCAATAGTTTTCCTCAAATTGATGAAAGCGGGACAGAGCGGTCGCTGCTACTCTCGCGATAGTTCACGTCTTGTTATGGTATGGATGTGGTCCATCGTACTGAATCCCTTTTGAAACCCTCCGTGCTCACATGGCTGTCCTTCGTTAAGTGTTCTGTCAGTCTTGTTTAGGATTGAAGAGTTTGTAGACGACGGACAGCTAGCAGATTGGGCAGTAGTTGCCGATATCGTGCAGCTCATCATTCTTGAACAATAGCATGATCTTGTTGCTATTCCACTGAGTACGGACCTTGCATTCAGAAAGGTAACGTGTGAAGAGCCGAGCAACTGTGTTTACGAGGACTCGCGGAAAGTTCTTCAGCTGTTCGGAACTTATTTTGGGAGGACCTGCTGTTGTTCGATTCTTCATCGATGCAATATCATATCGGATTTCGGATGGAAGGACCGATGGGGCCACATTATTCATCATCCCTTATTTTGTTTGAAGGCAGGAAGCCGTGGCTATTGAACAGATTCGAGAAGTAATCGTGAGTGATTTTCTCTACTACCTTTCTGGAAACCGTTACTGTTCCGTCTGAACGTCATAATGCAATAATCTTGTGTTTCTTAGTTGGCAAAGCTTCGACTGGTTTTGCGAATGTTTGACTGGCCTCTGTAGTTTCGACTATGACTTCTGCTATTCTACCTTTAAGATCTTATTTTGCCGCCTGTCTACATTGTTTTGCAAGCTCGGACGTGCGTTGGCGGCTGCCTGCAGATCGTGCGATTCATGCTAGCGTAACAGCTCGAATGTTTCTGGAAACAGATGTCTCTTAGTGACCGTCGAACTCTCAGCTTTCATAGAGCCAATGTGAAAATTTTGAATGAGCAATCGCATTTTTCGTCGATGTTTTCAAGAACGGCATCTTCTCAACAGTCGACTAATGAACTGAATAAATCCCAGTTCATGACGGCTTTCGGGCTTAGTAGGCACTCTACACTGGGAGACTCCCACGTCCAGGGTTTCCTGGGATTCCGGAATTGTTAGTTGATGTGAATGGCTTTGGCCACCATGGTAAACTTAGAGAATCGTTCACCCTTCTCATTCCATTTTGTGCCGTAGGTCATAATGCGATCTCCAAACCTTCTTCTGAGTTCAATGGGTTGGATATACTCATAGTTAGAGTGCCATTCTCTCTCAGAGCAGACGAGCTTATTTGTTAGAGGCTACTTCTAACGGCCTCGCGTATATAGAATCAGCTAGCCCATTACCTAGATTCACCTGCTTCTTATGGAAGCATAAAGTCACTTTCATTCCGCGATTAATCCCTTATCCGCTACCTAGGGACGCGACTCGTTGCCTCGCGACCAACAGGCATGGGGTCCCTCTACGAGGGCCCCGTTGAGAGAATGTAGTACTTCATGCAAATGGCGTTCTTTAAGCACCTTAACTAACTCGTTCGAGAACTGATAAAGTCAAAAACTACTAGACTATGATAAGATTGTAGAGTTTATAGCAACTTTTTATTATTTAGATGTTAAGATAGCAGAGAAATACCTTTAAGAGGCTTCCCTTTATCAGCACAAAATATCTTTAAGTGTTTTTCTTTATCTCTTATCGTTTTAAAAATTATTCGAAAGTCAATGCCAGGAAAGCGTATATGGAATGTGTCGGAATGGCAAACGCGGTAGTTTTAAAACCATCAGTTAGTTCTTAACTTAAAATTAATTGCCACCAAGCTCTGTCTTGTAATCACTTATTAAAATACATAAGTTGGTGTCCATTGGTAGTTTGTTGTGGCGTTGTGCTCCCAACTTTATATGAATACAAATCCGTTGAGAATATTAGTCCTTGTAGCTGCCACGCGGCTCTTTTATGTGTAAGTCGGTGAGCCGAACGTTGGGTTACAACTTTTACGACAGTAGCAGCAATAGCAACAATAACAATAAGGTGAAGTATGTAAACGAGTTAGGCAATATGAACGAACCGGATGGACACTGGACAGACGAACACTGCCAACACTTGAAGACGAAAGGCCATGCCTGTATTACTTCTACAGTGGGTGAAGCCTTGCCAGACGGAACTAAAGACAGCGCCTAGAGAGAGGTTCTAAAGGTTATTTCTACTAGAACAATCTGACAGAGCTACATGTGAAAGAGCGCAGCTGCCCGTTCGCAAACTTCTTTGGGACGGCAGATGTTGGAAAGTACATTCAACTGACTGCTTCTCAATCAGTGACGGAACTGTCGGGCAAAGAAGAGCAGCTTATTGAAAGAAATTATAGAATCCCTTTCTAGCCACCTGCGAGGCAACTGCATGTGATAATGTGCAAGAGGCAATTTTGAAAAGATAGATTTAAGATACTTACAGGTGAAGAAGAAACATACACTAATTTAGAAAACAGAAACTGTTTGAGGAATATTGTTATACCTTTTTATTTTCTGCCTACTATAATTTCGCGGCAGGGTACTAAGCGAAATACGACCACAACGCTGCTGAGATATTTGCAAAACTCTGGACCGCAGGTGTCTATGGTGGGGAACGAACGCGCTATTGTCCTTTCCGGGGAGTAACGCGTTCACCACCACACCATGCGGGTCCTTTGTTTCGCCTGTCTCTCAGCTATTTCTATCGATCTTTGCCACAGCAATCACCCGTCAGCGGGATCACCCTAAGCAAAAAGTGGCAAAGAACGATAGAAATAGCTGAGAGACAGGCGAAACAAAGGACCCGCATGGTGTAGTGGTGAACGCGTAACTCACCGGAAAGGTCAATAGCGCGTGCGCTCCTCACCATAGACACCTGCGGTCCAGAGTTTTTCAAATATCTCAGCAACGTTGTGGTTGTATTTCGCTTAGTACNGCTGACGGGTGATTGCTGTGGCAAAGATCGATAGAAATAGCTGAGAGACAGGCGAAACAAAGGACCCGCATGGTGTGGTGGTGAACGCGTTACTCCCCGGAAAGGACAATAGCGCGTGCGCTCCTCACCATAGACACCTGCGGTCCAGAGTTTTTCAAATATCTCAGCAACGTTGTGGTTGTATTTCGCTTAGTACCCTGCCGCGAAATTATAGTAGGCAGAAAATAAAATGGTATAACATTGTGATTTCAACTACAGCCGCAGCTTAACTGGGTTCTATGCCGATTTGAGCGCCCCAGATCAATCCCGCAGACCGGTGATTGCTGTGGCAAAGATCGATATTTGAGGAATAGTTCCTATATAGCCTTGCGTCTACCGAGCCTTCAAAGTCCAAGGCTAGACTCACCATCAGCGGTCTTAACGGAATCACGGTTGAAATACCTTCGTTTACAAGCCTAATACTCGTCCATTTGCTGAAACAAATCATAATCCATCGTATGAAAAGCCAAATATTGTCGTATCATTTATGGAACGCGTCAATCAACAACTTATTCGTATTGGAGCCTCCTCGCATTGCCGAACCTTTGTGCAAGGGTGTCGAATGCGGTCCAACAACTTCTGCCTCCTCGGAAAGCCTGCCTGAACAGTTCGGCTCTCAGGCAAAGCAGATAGTACGAAAAATATTACTCCTAAACAATAAGGTTGGAAATGTGACAGCGAGTGGCTGCAAGCCTAGTTACTGAGTTCATGTCTTGTGTTGAAGCTGCATACTCGGTCTCCTCCACTACACTATTGTATATGCCGAAAACTGTCTTGTCATCTGCTCCTCATAAGAGATGGACAAGTGCTTTGAGCTTTTAAACAAAACTCAGAGTAAGAAAAACCACGAAAAAACAGACCAAATTAACCTATCCGAAAATGGCTACTCTGCAAGGTGGTACTGAAATCCATGTGGTAAAAACAAAGTGTTTCGTTACCTCTCCTCTGACCTTTTTTACACAAAAATATCGCCTGTGAAAAACATGTTTCACAAAGGAGTCAGCAGAGGGAGGAATCCCTGAACTTGGCGCAGGAAATAGCCACTTCCAATGGCTCTGAAACGGTGACCGCTCGGTGTACGTTTGAAGGAAGAACAAAACCCTAAGAGCTCATGAAGACGTTAAAGTAAAAGTCAGTTTTCTTGTATAAGAATCTAAAACACCAACGGGCAAAATTCTTGAAGAGGTCCGAATAAATTCTAACAATCCGAAAGTGAACCGCAGAGAGGATGAAATTGAAGTGAATGAAATTTTATACATTGAGCTCATTGTTCCTGGGTCACGAAAGTGTTTGATTGTGCAGATTGCGTGTCGGTTTGACCTATTCAGGGTCTTTGTTGTACCACTCGAGCGGGTACCACTAAAGCATCCATAGCCTTATCGTCTCAAAAGACTACTGAATAAGTGAGCAAACTGGATTTTGTGTTGGTTTAAATTCCATCTTTTGGACTTTCATCTTTCTTGAGTTCTTGTAAAAAAAAATTATGAGGGATAAATGAACCTATAACCACATCGGTTAGAAAAAACCTTCTTTTTAAGCTAGTTGAGTCGATGGTAGGATCACATGGCTTTTCTCTGAATGGCTTTTGTAGTTATGCTTAATCTATATGATCCCTCATCGTATTCGCTGCATCCCGGACCGGCGACCTCGATTAAAGTTTCCCACGCTATCCCTTGAATTCATTCACACCAATGGAGCCGTCGTTGACAAGCTTAGAGAAAGCTTGGCCTTCTCAATAAAACTTTTTCTACTATGTCTAAAACACCTCGAGACTTGCTATTAACTTAGTAGACGTTAGGTAAGAACGCATAAGTTGTTTCGCAACTGAGTGCTCAAAATATATCTGACGAAAAAGACCAATGGAAGAAATCTATGAATTAATTGAGAAAAAATCATGAGCTTGCTGTGCTAAAACTAAGAACTGCACCATTTTTCTTAAAAACGCTAACGTTGAAAAAGCCTTTCATAAATTACCTATTTTTTGTTCAGGTGTGACTTTCTTTAATGGTGAAGGCGGTGTATGGCTAATCCACAGTGTGCCTAAATTTCCTCCACCGAATTTTTATCAATATCCAAGAAGTGGCCACCACTATGGACAGACGATGCTGTGCCTCTCGTTGCCTTATTCTCAGCTTGAAAACATCGGTAACGATAGTGACACCAATAATACAGTCACATCGATTCGAGATGTGAATGGATCAATTCCCACATTTTATACTTTATCTTGCTGCGTAAAGCTAATGAACTAACGTGTTTTCATTTTTATTATAACATATTCAGCTACTCAACTCTATTATAACAAACCTGACATTTACTCGTCTCAATTGCCAACAGCAATGGCTGCTGATTACCCTGTACTTGCTCAGGTAATACATTTGTTTTGCAAATATAGAAAATATTTGGACATGAAGGTGAGCTTTTCCCGATTTTAGGTCATCGCAGGCAAATATAAGGTAGGCGAACCATACCACAATATCGTTGAGCTGACTACCGTCGGTGGACAGGCTTTCAAATCGTTTGCAAAGACAAGCGAGTTCAACCACGGTAACATCATGACATGTCTTCCGAAGAAATTTCATGAACGAAAGGATTTTTCTATTCAGATCTTTACGATGGACTCGTAGCTCCAACTCTTAAGACAGATCTGATCGCTGAAACATGGCGCAGAGGACTTGAAGTGAGTTGCTCAAGAACAAGTATGAAAAGTTGTGGCGTTTCTGTTGAAAAGATAATTAAACATTTTGGCTTTTATTTCTGTTGAAATTGTTTAGCTTCGTATGGTAAAAGGCACCAAATAATTGATAAGGCGAAAAAGTTTTTTTATTACTTGATCTATTAGTATTTCAATATAGTGAGGTTTCTATAAAATTCTAAGATCCTGAAGCTTTGAATGAATCGTGGAACCTGAGATATTGTCATATTGTAATTGCAAGTATATTTTAGGTGCCACTAGACTGTAGCACAACTTATCACACCAATGATGCTCTCGCAATTCAGGTTCTTTTTTCTTATTTTGTCTAACATTCATGAATTACGGGCGCAGTGTAGCGAAACAGATAGAAGTGCTCTGAAGTATGTTTTTTGATTCATTCCTACAGGCCTTCCATCTATCTGAGGTCGGGAAATTGGTAACAGCTTTATCTGAGAGCATAGGAACACAGACTTGGCACATAGTTAGGTCTCTGCAAATTATTCTGTAGGATGCCTTCAATCACCTCTACGATGCTTATTGATGTCGAATTCCTAGTAAATCGTAGATCCAAGCGCTGCAGTCTATTTTCATGCTGCATTAGTGCTGACCATATCAACTTTACTATGTTAATACGTTGTCTAGGTGGGATCAACAATTTCGTTCAAATACACCGAAGATCATTCAAAGATAGCTCGATCTACGAACCCTTCAAAACCATGGTTATGCATCGGAGACATTAACCGTATGGTTGGTTTCCTATTCTCTCGACAACTTTCAATCGAAGGTATATGACGTATATTTTCTTAATTCATAGTAAACGAGCAGTTAAATTGAGATACTTTTATTATTGATAATTTCAAAAGTTTTCAATTAAATAATTAAAGCAATTTGATTAATATCACGAATTATTCAGGCAAAGATTTTCAGGTGTTCTTTTATATTCAGGGTTTCTAATCATGAAATTCGAAACGAGCCTTAATATTTATCTCTAGCCGTTTCATATGAGACTGTCAAACCTATTACTGTAAAATAATCTTACCATTTTTGTAGACTTCTCAGTATGCTCGTGGTGGCGGAACGACCTGTATTTCAAGCAAGTTGCCCTGGAAAGCGTTTGATGTCATTAAAAGTGAAAACCGTTGTTGATGGAAACGTGAACAATAAATATTCAAGAAGCAGATGTTGATCACTTAGTGTTTTCTACAAAGAACCTAAAACAAAGCAAAAATGTGATGAACAAAACTATCACTTGATCTCAGCCTACGTAGCCAATATAGACGTTTATTTACAAATTTTAACGAGGTTACTACATACTTTTTCATCGTGGCTAGCGTCCCACCACTATGTCCTTCTTCAGAGCCACTGTGACTCGGATCGAATATTAGTTAATTTTTACCATGTGAACCGTAGTAATTCTTCTAACTTTCAAATACAAGCTGATCTATATAACTAGTGAGAGACAAGCAAAACAGAGGACTCGCATGGTGAACGCGTTAGACACCGGAAAGGGTAGTAGCGCATTCGTTCCCCAACGCAGACACCTGCAGTCCCGAGTTTTGCAAATATCTCAGCATCATTGTGGTTGCATTTCGCATTATACACCGCCACGAAAAATTGTAGTAGGCAGCAAATAAAAAGTTAGCATTGCGATTACAAGCCGTTAGATTAAGTCTCGTTAGCTTCGCTTTATTCTGCCTGTAAAATAACAAATGCTTGACATCTAAGCTCTCAGGGGCGCGTGGGGCGCAGTGGTCGAAGGCACCCTGCAACATAAACGTGTAATCGACCCCAGCGCCCATGGCCCACCAATCCCTACATTCCTCCGAGCTCGGAACCAGATTTGTCTGGAAGGATAGCACTGGCTCGATATATCGGTACGCTACTGATTTATCAATGTAAACACCAAATATGCATTCAATCATCACCAAACGATGCCTAATGAAGTCGAATGCATGGCACATCCCTCAACGCCGAGAGCTTTATCCTTTTCAACCTCCTCTTATACGAAAATGTTCACTGATAAGAAAATAATGCTATCTCAGTAAGCTCAAAAACTTTGGTTAATTTCTACTAATGATCCTCAAATGGTTTACCCCGTCAACAGGATTTCAAAAATAATTCAGGATGATAGAGCATATCCATACGACTAAACTCTTGTTTCACTTTCATGGACTTTAATAGAGACTTCCGACTAAGTTGAGACTAGGCAGTCATAGAAGCTTAAGCAGCGTAAAGAAAGGCTCGGTAAGGCAGTGCGATTTGCCAAAATTATCTGAAGCGTCCCTCGAAGACGTCATGCTAAAATTGGAATGGGATAATATGGGAGTGAAGGTCGATGGTTAGCAATTAACATCATCTTCGCTTTGCTTATGCCACTTCTCTTATACCATTAAGCACTAACAAAGCTAAACGAATATTGGCCGACGTTGACAATGCTAGTGGAAATATTGGTCTTCGACTAAATCTCAAGAAAACAATGTGCTTGAGTAACATATTTCTTTCTTCTGTCAGAATAACCTCACCGAATGCAAAAGTCATGCATATCTAGACTAAGAATTCAACATGATGAATGACTTAACTATATAGTTAGCACGAGGAAGCGAGCAGCTTGAGGAGCACTCAAGAGCATCAGAGATGTAGTGAAGAAGAGAAGAAACATGCGATTCCATTCCCACTTTTCAACTCAACAATTCTTCCTGCCTCAACATATGCGCTGGAAAACTAGTCCTTACCCATCCAGAATGAAACCACTTCGCGTTATCGATCAAGCAGTCGGGAACAAGATTCTTGTAGTATCGCGTACCACTCAAGTGAGAGAAAAAACCCGATGTTCTCAGCTACCTCAGCGATCAAAAGTCGGCGATGCAGTTGTGGACGTGGAAATTTCGAGGGTCACATGAATCGAACACACGAGAGCGATGGATGAGAGTCGCTAGCTACTGAATTTCTCGGGGTTTCGAATACATACCACTAAGGCAACTGGACCAAGAAGCAGAGTTCTTCAAGGTAACAAGAACGAAGGGTGTCAGCAAGTCTTCAGAGCGAGCTGAAGCCACTCAGGCGGCTCTTGTACGCCAAAAAGACAAATGGAAAATTTACTGGTGTAACACACATTCCAGTTATTTGACAATCAGCAGAAGGATAGGTGAAGAGTAACTCCCGTTCTACATTTTTTTTATCACGTCTAAAATGATCCAATTCATCACGAAATTGTCATGTGCGACGAAAATTCGGTAGCAACAATCAATGGCGATCTGTACAATAGCGGCACGAAAAACAACGACGATTTAGCTAAAGTACTATAAAAATAACTTTTACGTGATCAGTTGAAATAATCCTCTATACCTCTTTGAATAGTGGCCAAATCACTGCGCAGGAGCACCATCGTGAAGTAATCTGCAAATTGGACCAAGAATGCAGTGTTAAAGATTGATATTGATTAGTGATAAAGTACCAGCTACGTTGAGTCACAGTAAACAATTACATTTCACTTTTGTAGAAATGGCAAAAGGTTCTTGAGAAACGAACGCCATCTCCCAAGCAATTTGGGAGCTGCGTTTCGGAAAATGTCCTCAGTAATTCTCTCGCAATGGGACTTCTTTTAAAATACTTTCTTATACAACGGTAAGGTTTTGTTAAGATTAGACGAGCTTTTAATCATTTTACGCGACCCGAGATCACATAATATGGAGTTCCCGCACCACATTCCATTCGTTCTCTTTCATTCATCATCCACGAAGGCATTAGAAATCGCGTGTGAGTTCGGCTCATGCTCAAGGATTTTCGTTTTCTTCACAAATATCGTTGACTAGTGGTCGAGACGACTCTCCTTGGAACCCCGGATTATTAGTTTCGAGCTGTTCCCGAGCGGATTATTGGAAGTGAGCTGGTCTCCAGGTCCAATTTCCAGGTCGCGGAAAAATGAAAGGTTTGGATAAACAGAGATGTGGTCGAAATTACACCTTTCTCGTAATGAACGGTCTTCTACAGTGATGGATGAAAATGTATAGATCTCACTTGCTTCAACCTCGTTTTTATAGAACGGTTCTTGCTGCTGAAATGAAGTGATCTCATCTGCCAATCACTCCCAGGAAGCGGAACTCTTCTTCATCGAATAAGAGTAAGCCGGGATATTGTTTATCCACCATGAAGTTAAATGAATGTTGGTAGTGAAAACATTTCATCTACTTATATGCTACGAAAATGTTTACCGATTGCGCTAAAAGTTTAGTTTATATCAGACGATGGGCATATCATTTTTTCAATTACACAACAAACAAAGTGAATGAACAACAAAGCGGAAAGTGCGAAATAACAAACTGTAACAAAATACTTCTTTGAATTTTTCCGCTTACACGAAGTTGTTATACAACTTTTATTCGGCTGACGTTCCGATGTCTTCGTCTTCCTTAGAGTCGATGATCTACAGTTGTTCTGTCACATAACCTCCTTTGTATTGAGCTGGCCAACAATGTGTGTTATTTGTTTCACTGGCGTTTCATTTCACCATAAATTTATAATCGATAGTCCGACATAACAGTATGTTTTGTGTTACCGTTAGGCGTAATCTCTTTATTTCACCTGGAAAGCACGTTTTCCTAATTCACCATTGATCTTCTTTAAAAAGAAGTCGTTATTATATTATCATTGGTGAAAGAGATAGACAAGAGAACTGAAGATGAAGAAAACAGTTGAGGGGGGCGGGGCTGACTTACCTGTTCATGAAAATCACGGTAGAGATCCATTCACCCTAACCATTTCAGATAAATAGGTCTATTTCAACAGTTTGTCCTTATTATTTTAGGAAATTACTGGGCAAAATGAAGCACTGTAGGTATTAGGCGTAGGTGGCTGTCAGATATCAAAAATAATTCTGCGTAGCGTTATTTTATTTTTATTTATTTTACATGAGCAGTCTTCATCTCTACCGTGCGGATCGCAACATTTTTCACATTCGATTCGTTTCCTCGCATCAAATGTCTACGAAGGTGTTTCAACTTTTACGCGTGGCTTCGGCTGCTGCTTGAGGATTTTCATTTCATCTTGAATGTCGTAGAGTGCTGGTCGAGTAGATTCTCTCTGGAATTCTATGATAACCGGGCTGGAGCGTTCCCAATTGGGTTGCAGAGAATGATTTTTTTCCATACAAATCTGGTACCAACTTCCCGACCCCAGAGAGATCAGAGGCTTGCTTGGCCCTGAGCGGAATCGCACTAGCACCATGCCATGACGAACATCACTACCACTGTGCAATCCACCCCTCTATATAGTATTATTATTAAAAAAAGCGCATTACTAGACACATTGAATAAATTGGTCGTTCGACACCCATTTATCATTACAGTGGTTTACTTCGAAAAATTTCGCAACTGTAATGAGCGAAGCAAACAGTTTTACAAATTCAAAGATTGCTAAATTCGAAACCGCTATCAGAATCGATATTCGAATCATTCAAATCCGAAACAGTGTCTTCAAACACTTTAGGAAATTAATAGGCCCTTAGTAGAAGTCTGTGATTTTTTTTATCTCGTCTTTGATCTTCGCAATCACATAACTCTCGTGTTATTAGCAATCAACGGACGATCACGTTATTTTCGGTAACTTAACGATCGCCGATACAAACAAAAACGTGTTTCGAAAGAGTGGACTACAGTAATTAGAGGATCATCCTGCCGCCATTCTACCTGGGCCAGTTTTCAATGCCATTTCTGATAACTTCGGAAAAACGCATTTTTTATGTTTAGATGAATAACTACATTTCTACTTCTTTACTCAAACATAAACTTGTGCTTTAACGCGGCGATTATTCCTGTCTGCCTTGAAGCTGCCGAATGTTTCTCATCCTTCGTCATGGGCTCTATTTTTTATCTAGCACTATACTTCACAGAAATATCGATCTCTCTGTACTGCTTCTAAAAAGTGTATTGCTATTTCTATCTGCTAGAACTCAAAGGTGTTCAAACGGGTTGAGTAGTGGGCAAGAATGCCACTGAAGTACGCGGCCATGTCGTTGACAACAGAACGTGAAACGCCCGATAATGGCCATCCTCTATTGGATAGCGATCCTATCACAAAAGTATGTTGTTTTTAAATTTTATGAATGTCATGCTTAGGTATCTATTGCACGTGTCTGTAGCATTTTTGCAACGTTTCTGGCATGGTCAAGGTCGTCAGATAACCGTTCTCATATAAATTGTTATTGGCTCGTCTCTCACTCTCTTTCAATCAACATTTCCTGATGGCAGGTGATGATTGATAGTGTTGTAGATTCGATCCCATCGAAAGGAATTTTTGAGTCGAACATTTTTTTTTCTAAAGGCCATGCACTAAGCCATGCACATTTGGTATCAACCTCATTTTTATTTACCTTCTATTCTGGAATTGTGATAGCCTATCAAGACAAATGGATTTTCGTGCTGTATTTTAGCGCTTTTCATATTTTTTGCTTTGCATATTAATCTTTAACTCTTTTGCTTATGTAGTTTAGATGGAGAAGAAGCGACTTAAAACTGAAGAAGTTGGATGTTTAACAACAAAGACAAGATATGTCGTTCTCTTTTTGGGTAAGGTCTATTAGAAATTGTTTCTTTACGAGGTATTTCGATTCAAAATTATTAAGCAAGAGCAAGTTCGATTTCAATAATGACTTATGAACTGTCCTTAAGCTAGTACGAGGTTGGTTCAGCTTACATTTCTCAATTTCAATGAAAATCTGTTTCAAAAACCAATTCGAAAATCTACCTATTGAGGATCACCCAACCTTTCAGCTTCTTAGATAGAGTGAAGTACTCCAGAACTGATTAATAAGATATGGTACAGTATAGTGAGTCTAAACTCTGAGAGAGGCGAATTCGCCTAATGGTCAGCTATCGGATTTGAAAAAGAAGAGATACCAAACTCGTGCTAGCTTGCTTCTAATGATAGAAATAGATGACAAAAATTGAATGTATCTGACTTTGCACTACGTATTTAGGATCGGCATGTATTGCTTCCATAGCGTCTAATATGATTGTGTTGAATTTCACGTTGATTTGCATGGGCACGGAATATAATGAGGTTTGAACAATTCATTATTAAATACATATTTGGCCTACACAACAACTCGCTGGTGTCCGCCGATGTGTCAAAGGCGTTTTATTTTGTAGTCTGGTAACTTGCCGATGCTTAAATGATGGGATGGCTCGGTTAGCCACCATCGAACTTGAAGACCATGCCTATAACAGGGCGGTGGTAGGTTAACAGATGCCGCTGATCAGGAAACAAAGAGCCTAGTTCGACTCCTTCTTTTAAGCCTTCTCCAATCTACGTGGGTACGCCTTAGCTCGGCTATCTCCAAGATTGCAAGCAGAATCAATTCGACCAGGATTCAACGATATTCATAATAAAGGCGAAATCCTCAAGAAGCAGCCGAAAAACCATGCTAAATGTTCGACGACCCTTGTGGACGAATACGACGAGAACGAATCGAGGGTAAAAAATGCTGGGATGATCGAACGATGTAAAAGATTGAAAACAATGAAGTAAGAAAAAAAAGAAGACGAATTACTCGAGAAGCAGTCAAATCAATACATTAAATATTCGAACGCGTTTATGGACGATGCATGCGAGAAACGAACGAAATGCAAAAGATGCCGAGATCAGCACAGCAGATCTGATGACGGGTCATATCAAAAATAAAAAATTCATAAGAAAGCACCTCTAGACTTCTTTGATCTTTTAAAAAAAATGATAACAGCGAGATAACTATTTGTCTTTTGTGTGGGCTGACTATCGTTTTCGATTAATTGATTATTACAGAGTAATCCAATCGACATCCAAAATCGTGGACCTTATGACTATACACAAACTGAAAAATCATATCTGATGTGGGCAGTGGCTATCGGAACACTAGTGGCCGCGTGGCCCTTTCATTTGTTAGTGAGATCCGCAAATTAGTTAACATTTTGTAGGAGAAAACGAAAACTGTGGATTTAAATTAGATTACTTCTTTTGCAACACTATGAGGTTTTCACTGGAATGCGTACCAGAACGCCACGTTCAGTGTTTGATCGCCTTTCTTTAAACAAACAACGATTCTTTCTAACGCTCTTAGAAAATAAAGTTGAAAAATAAAATAAAGCCGTCCAAATATTAGTTTTTATCGAAGAATGACATCCAGGTTCTATGAGCGTTACGGAACTCGAATTGTGTTCTTCGTAGCAGGTATGATCTCAACCATATCGACGGCTGTTATACCTTTTACAGCCGGCTACAGTTGGACCGCACTTCTCATCGCTCGCTTTCTTCAGGTGCGTTGTCGCTGATATTGCTGGTTTACTCCTTGTTGCCAATAGCTCAGCAGAAATTTTTCTTGAAACGGACTTCCGAAACGTTTGGAAGAACTTGTGTATGCCACACTCCTTACAGGGAAAATAAGAACTAAATAACAGTTTTCTGGTAGTCGAAAAATGTTAAACACGATAATAAACACTAGTTATAACCAAAATGATGCTGAGATATGTGCAAAACTCTAGACCGCTGGTGTCTGCGGTGAAGACCGAATGCTTTATTACCCTTGTCGGAGGTTAATGCGTTCAAAACAACACCATACGAGTCCATCGTTTCGCCTTTTCTCAGCTGTGTTATTGACCTATAGGTGCTCAAGGCAATCACCCATCAACGGGATTGATTTGGGCGGCAAAAATCGGCATCGAACCCAGTTAAGCTGAAACTATGACATAAATAATAATGTCGTCACTTTTTGCCTGTTGCCCATTCTTTTTTTATGGCAAGGTATTATGTGAAATTGTATTGGTGATAGCAAATGTTGGCCAGCAATACGGCTGAGAGAAAGGCAAAACGAAGGGCTCTCCAGGTGTTGTGGTGAACGCGTTAGTCCCCGGAAAGGATAATAGTGTATTCATTCCTCACCGCGTACACCAGCGGTTCGGAGTTCTTCAAATGTCTCAGCAACATTGTGATTATATTTCACATAATACCCAGCCATGAAGAAAGAATGCGCAGTAAAAAAGTGACAAAACAGTAATTATATTGCATAAAATAAAGAATATAACACAATACATTCTGAATATTAATTCACAAAGTGGTTTTCTGCGAGTTCATTTGTCGAAAAAAATGGTGAAAATTTGATAGCCGATTTCTTTGCTTTTTTCTCTACCATGTTTAGCTCTGTAACGCTGGACCTTCATGTTTAAGGGAATCTCGTTCGGAGCAGATTTCGCTGCAATTGGTCTGATTGTAGTCTACTGGGCCTCTCTCAAACAACATGGATTTTTCATCTCGTTACTCTCTTCGTTTTCACAGTTGTCTGTAATGTTTACGATGCCCGTAGCGGGTGAGGTAAACGCATAAAGTCATATTGCTCAAATCCTTGGTCTCAAAGAATGAGGCTTTATTTTTAGTTTTGTGAATCATCATTCGGATGGCCAGCAGTCTATTATGTTCATGCAGCACTCAGTGGAATTTTATTCGCAGCTTGGTACTTCTACTATAGGTAATATTACACTCGATTACGAGTACTTCTGCAAGATTTGACAGCTACCTTTTGTGTTTAGAAATAATCCTGCAAATCATCCTTTAATGACCGAAATTGAACTAGAGAAAATCCAACGCGGCAAAGAGGAAATGAAAGAAAAGGAATCGACCCCTGTCAAGGCAAGTTTGAACGCGAATCCGCGATGTAATAAAGTAGCAATTATTCCAACCATCTCTTAGGCGATAATGACAAACCCCATAATGTGGGCAGTGTGGCTATCAGCGTTTGGTGAGCTGATGATGTCGCAATTTATCGTAATGTATGGTCCAACTTATCTCAAAGAAGTAAGTTGTTATCTTGTAGATGTTGTGCAGCGAAGATCACAGATGGTCGAACGTATTGTACTATATCCTCAGCTCGAAATTAACAAGAACAAGTGATTTTAATAAGCCAGTACTCTCTTTTTAAGCAGATACGAGGTTGTCAAAAATAGGATTTAAGAAAAAAGGCCAAAGAAATGTCCAGAATAGCCACAGTACTGGCAGAAACCCAGTTGCAAGGTGGGAAGCCTTCATTCGATCCAGGATAACCGGAGGTTTTCTTCGAAAATAACCTATAAACACTTTCCCAAGACCACATGGCAGTGAATTGAGAATAGCTCAACCAGGAATAACCCAGTCTTAGTACGCAAGACACAGCACGTTCCTGTCTAGCACTTCACCAGAGACGCGCCGTCAAATTTCTGGTTGGACAGAATGTTATTCAAACTGAATGAAACACCTATACGACACTCCATCGAAAACGAAGCTCGATTCATCTAGTGAAAAATCAAGCTAGCTTGTGTTCTAGACAAAAAAGTGTTAATAATGCGGACTCGAATCTGGAATCTTAACATCCAAACTCCGACCCTACACTCACTAGTGCACACACTCCTATCATCAGCAAATTGCAGAGTAAAAAATTTCCAACTAGAAGCAGAGCTGGGACAAGCGATAATGTGCATGATAGCACACCACTGTGTAATACACAAAGCCTGCGCTGTCTGTGAAACGGCGAGAACTTGATAGTCCAATCTAAACCTGCTCATCATTTACTTCATGTTTGTGACAACATTTTTAAAATTATTTTACGCTTTCTTCCTTTCGATTCCTGCACCGGAGACGGTATAGTGGTTTTGCTTAAATAGGAATTTTTAATCCACTGCTTTCCTTGATGAGCAAATACGAGGTTTATATTACAGAGTTTATTAATGCAGATTAGACGACTTTTCGGCTGTTTCGGAATATTCAAAGCCTGGAAAGGTTAGATTGAGATAAAATCTACTCAATCAAACGCTTCCATCACCTCAGCAAAAATAACTTAACACAGAAATTTCCATGTATTTTTTCATTCATGAGCTTACATGAGGTTGATAACCAACTTCATTCGGCTAACCTTTTGACTTCTTTGTCTTTCTCAGAGCAGTTGATTCGAGTCCATAATCCAAAGTTTATCGAGTTGAATTTTCATCAGTAGTTTTTGAAATATTGCTGTACTCTGTGCCAGCTGTTAACGATACCGGCTTCTTGGGATGGATTGTCCAGAGAAAAACAAGTTGCGATCGCTGGACAAATAATTACCAACAACAACCTAGAAAAGAACATTGCCGAGTAAGGATGTCTCATTGGGGCGGTACTTCCTCGGAGAAGATCCGACTCATTATGACGACGAAGACACCACATCAAGAGCATGAAGCACAGTGAAGTATCGATTCCGATCAGTGGCCCTAAGAAAGGCAAAGTTGTCGAAACGCTGTTTATCAATCTCGTGTAGGCTTATCAATGAAAGAATAGATGTTGAATAGTCGTAATGAGGTTAAAGGAAAGCCGGTTTTTGACCTGAATTTCCATTCGCACAATAAACAGCTTCTTTTAAACACCCACCGCTTCTTTCTTTATAAGTGTTCCTGCTCCTGTTTTAAACCAACAGCACAGAGCCTTACATAAGCGAGTAATGTGTCTAGCTCATGTTGAAGAATCAGCTAGAGGTATAGTGCCACGCGTGAGAAAAAGGAATTTCCGTGCCCATTTCTGGATTTTTGAAAATTATCCAAAACGTTTTAAGTGGTCACGATTTTGGGCTGAAGTTTTGAATTTTTATCCAACTGTGTTGACTCTCGCTTCAAAATCTTTTTCGCTGTTTCTGTGTCCATGCATTCTCAGAGGCGAATTTGGTTTCAACTTAAATTTAGCGTCCACGAGTTTTTTTTATAATGGCACAACGTGGTCTACGCATTTTGTCAACGTATTCGTCTCAATGCGCTATACAAGAGATTACGTACCCAGTACTCGAATTCATGCAATCACCATCGCTATCGTTAGGGTAGAGCGTATTGTGCAATTTTGCGCTGTGCATAAAAGGTCATATGGGCGGTTAAGAACTAATTGGTGCCATAGAGTGCTCGGTGGTATCTCAATCACTAGTACCGACTTATCCAAACTTGTCGTTTTTAAGCAACTTTTTACGGCTGTGCTAATTTCTTTTGAAAGGAAGGCAGGATGAACGAGACCTTATTTTCACTACATTTGTTTTGGGGCATGTTGTTTCCTCTAAAGCTGCCGACTAGATACCGCTTCGTAGCCATTGCAAATGGCTAGTTGCCGAGTCAATTTTATGGAACCTTTCTTTCGCGCTCTTCCTGTGCACACATTGGTGGCTGTTTGAAGCATGTTTTTCACAATCTCCCTTTTTGGGTGTGAGAGGTGAGAGGAAAGATAATGAGTCAGTGTATTTCTGTTATTCGTTCTGTTAATAGTTGGCTATGCAGCCATTTTCGGATAGGCTAAAATTTCTTGGGTGAATGTTGTGAACTCTGTTCGCTCAACAATTCAAAACATTCGAGATGTAAGTATTAAAAGCGGTGGAGTCAAAGGACTCTATCATGTAGGCGCTGTTAGTACGCGCGTTACACAGAAGATACGAAGGCATTTGCATACTTACAAAGTAGGATTGGATGTGCTTGAGCAACTGGATGAGTATGAGGTTTATGAACAAAGCTATTCTACCCGTTGGCCCGTCTACACCGGCGATGAACCTTGCACGTGTAACCTTGAAGGAGTCGTTAGACGCAAAGTTCAGTGGATAGTAAATCACAAGTTTTGACAAGTATACGTAGAAAAGGACATGTTGGTAATTCAATTTTAAGATGCGAATTAGCTAATGGTTTTAAACCTGTCGCTCTTGCCCCTTTGACCCATTCCCTGTTCAGTTTTCGGTAAAGACTTCTGAATTCCTTTCAGATGATGGCGATAAAGGAAAATATCTTCATGGGGTCTCCTCGTAATTTCAACATCTAACTGAAGACAGGTTACTACAAACTATCCATCGTTATCACTAGTTGATAGTCTAATAGTTTTCGATTTCATTACTTCTCGGACCTGTCGCATTCCACATCTTTGCGCTGCTGTGATGTTGGAACTAAACTTTCTCTCATGATAGTGGTTAACGATTTCTAGAAGACGATTTTTACCTGAAAATATGCGAAAATTCATGTCTTCTTCCTGCTACGTCTACTTCTCTAACCTTTAATCATTTTTGAGGGTGAGTTAAATAAAGCTTCGCATGACAGGACTACATCAGACCAAGAGCAAGGGCATAGATATATTCATATCAATCGACCACGCCCTTGATCTGAATGAAATGAATATGTTGTTGGCCGAACCTGTGTCACCCGTATTAACTACCATGTCGGTGCATAAGCCATCGAGTTATCTCACACGGTCTTCTCCACCTTCAACCTCAGCGTCAGTATCATCAACAACATATGCAGTCGGTGACAACGAATTCGTTTTATTTTATGGTTGGAAAATGACTCGATTTCATGCCTAGATGATGATTCTAGACCACCGTGACCGTGAATGTCTTTCTACAATTTTGCTCTTTAAAGCACTAATGCCAGAATGAGAAATTTTCAATAGGAGATGGAAATGTGAGTAGGAAATGTTTTACCTCGTTTCTCTCCAGAACACCCTCTTTTCCATAGATATTCATTCCTTGAAAAAATAGGACAATACTTGAACACACAAGTCTTATTCATCCTCAAACACAAACAGAAAACGACACCTCCCCATCCTGGTACGCTGTCGTTGTTATTCGATCCAACCGTTGTCCACTAAATGCAGCCATTCATTTTAAGCACAAATTGAAAAACCTGTAATTATCATGCGAGAAGGGACGAAACGACAAGCCATTTGCGAACATTTCCAACAGAATTTTTTCCCAAGTAACTTGTTAATAGTGTAATATCCGAGCACATGCCACGAGTTCCTTACCAGAACGCTCCAAACCTTTCCCAAAGGCACCTCAGTTCTTCAATAAAGAAGTTCGGATCGTGTCGCCATCTCCGCCAGAGAGATGGGCAAAAAAAGAAAAGGTAATTGAATGCATATCTGGCCGATGCAACAACTCCCTCTAGCCTATTTATATGTGAGTTCAGTGCTGCGATGCTCACAGACAAGTGCAGTACCAATTTGCCCAACTCGGAGTGATGGAAAGCTTGATAGACCTCGGCCGTGAGGTCGAACCAATGATCGCGTTGATGGAGGGCTTGACACATTCGTGACAACACAATTTCTTGTACTCATCACATCGCTTGCGTAGTGAAACAGAATTTGTCCGATCTCAATCTGGACGTAAATGATATGTATGCTACCGTTTATTATATGTTAGTGTGGTCTATCATGCAAACTCATACAAACATGTTGTTGTTAGCGCCAAGAACTGTTACTCCTACGACCGACTTCCTATTAACCTCGCTATTGATAGAGTAATTCTTTCCACTTCTGTTTTGCAAACACGAGGTGTTATTTCATTTCTTTATTTACGCACAAGCTGACTTTTCGGCGGATTTCGCCTTTCTCAGAGCATGGAAAGATCAAATTGACTGCCATCTACCTGGCCAAACACCTCCATAAGCAAACAGAGAAATTGCTGAACCAAAATTTCAATCACATTGAACACAGAATAGCTTCATCGCGTACTCACCGCTTTCTATGAGTATCCACTGAATATGTCACGTGGAGACCAACCGCACATACTTTGCATTTAAGCGTAATGTGCCCCTCTCATCAGAACAACAGATTT